GCCACTTAGAAGAATCATTTTCTTTTCTTCCGAGACAACATTTTATCCGTAAACTGCTGGTAGAAAAATATTTCATGCGCTTTCCACTTTCTCACACTTTCTGTTCTGCTTTTGCTAGTGATCCTAATGTGCTTCTTCCCACTTCACGCCCAATTGTCCGAAGTCGACAAGCTCGGATGCAGCATCACCATTACTTTTCTTGGATATGACCAGACTGTTGACGATCTTATGGCAAAAACTGTTGAGTCAAATCAAAATTTAGTATAGGACGAAAAAGTCAAGTTACAGTACGGTACGTTTATTCATCAAACAGGACGAATATATTCGAGCGGAAATGTACTACTTTGAAGTTAGCTCTCCAAAATCAACGTTATTTTTGCATCGAGCTATTGAAATTGTACTGCAACAATACGATTGCACAACATTTTATAACATCTCTAAACACAATTTTTTTTAAAAGCAAGTGATTGCTGATGTTGTACGGCGTAGAAGATGATGCAGCAAGCACCGTTATGATGTGACTCATACTTCCAGGGTTTGCCAAATAGCAGTGTCCGGGGTGGCAGTAAACACAGAGCAATCCGGATGAACTAGATTGCCAGTCTGTGTGTGTCTGTGTGTCCGTCTGTCATCCTTTGTCCTTGTAGCAGGTTGCGGGGGGCACTTGTGTAAATAAGGAGGAGAAAGTTTATTTAGAAATGAAAAGGGGGAAAGGGACTTCCAGCCAAGTATATTGCAGCGGCTGAGATGAAAAGTACAGATACATAGATAAGGGGCTGCGAAGTTCCGGTTATGAATTACTGTGCCAAAAAATTGCTCATGTGTACTGTGCAGAATCAGTGATAGCAAAAGAAGCGAGTTAAAGCCAATGGTACCATCACTGACGACAGTTTTCAGCAAATCGCCAAAGAATTAAAAATTGAACTTTAGTAATGAACATTTAAGCACAGTCACTAATTAAAGCAAAAAAAAATTTCGTTAAAACGCCGTAGACAAAGAAGGGGGATTCCCAGATGCCTTTTTTTTTTTAAAGCTTATGTAAATGTGCGTTTTTCTCTTGAAAAATCATAGTTTTATAACACAATTTTACCCATCAAATTTCAAGTTTTTGTTTGGAAGAACTGAAATCCGCTAGATAATGCACTTTGTATGATCTGGCTGGTACCATGTGCTGAGAACTGGTATCCGAAACAAGACGACTGCACGGGCAACCGCCAAAAAAGTGGAGGTGTGCGTGGTGGAAAAAGTGCATATAAACTGAAAGCGTGTATGATTGGAAGTACATTGCTGCGCCAATTCGTTCCAGGATATTCTAATACAAAAATTACGCACTAGTTGTCCAGATTATTTTTTGTGGTGTAGCTGTTAATTATTATTTTTACTGCTAAGTTATGTTATTGGAATACTCCCGAATACCAGACGCAGCTCGCCAGATCCTTTAATCCTGATTTCGTTCCTCTGTTTGGTGCCTAAGCCCTGTTCGATGTTGCGCATCACCTGCTCAGCTCATTTCCTCTCCTCACTTGGTCCTCATCGATTATCCGAACAGACTCGATATTTTTGTACCAGTTTTGCGTTATGGCTGTTTCTAAAATGTATGAAAATTCATAAAAACTGGGAGTGTCCTTTCATTCGTCTTTTGAAAAAAATTTTGAGACTTCTACTGAAATTGTTCAATTTGTAAAAATCCTTCAAAAAACACTGAGCTGCTAAAGAAGGCAAAAGACTTTCGGAAATTTGTGAAAATTTGACGACACGAAGGTATGAAGGACGAAAACGTGGTGGTGAGGATGCGGCGAGGGAAAGGCGGGGGAGCGGTATGGGGGGAAGGAAGGGCGAAAAGGGAATGGAAAATAATCTGCTTAGCAGAAGTGTTGCTCGGATATGCGAAAGCAGTTTATTTACACATAGCTGGAAATTAAAGCTAAATTGGTACTCGCATTCATATCGACATTTATAGTTATGTAGCAAGGAAAATGCAATGGAAATTTAGTACTGAAGTTTTTAGCCGGCCTGTCTTGAAGTTATGACTTAATTTCATTTTACTGCTTATATTAAGTCGCCCAATTCTAGTTTTTATGTCTCTTTATGCTTTCAATTGTGTGTACACCGAAAAAGCATTTTTCATGCATGTTTTTTCAAAAAATTGCCAAAGACGTTCGTTTCGGAGGCAGTTAAAATACATCCCGGTAACAACAAAGATTCTGAGCTGAAAAACATTTCATTCTAACGGCTTACTTTTGTCTGTTAAAGAAAAGCTGTAGAAGCTCTGAATTTTATTCAATGAATTTTTAACAAAGGCATTCGATGAAGAAAACAGAATCACTGTTCCAGAGGCAGACATAATTTGAGTGGTATTTTAATCTTCTTTCTCCTCACTCTTCCTCAGAGTTTCTGCCTCTGACTAATGATGTCTTGGGCCACTAGCTGTGTCACTATTATACGGTCCCATATATGAAGCTCTTCTCTTCTGATTATTCCAAAGGCGTTCAACAGAAGCCACCGTAGAATTCCATAACAAGAAATTGGGGTGTTCGGTGCCGCTTATGCTGCGTCGCTCTCGGAGATCATTAGCCGTAAGCTCCTCGCTATCAAATTCGGGTTCCGCTTCAACTGCATCAGTTGCTTGAGGAATATTAACTGTTTTGGCTGCAGAAGCGTGGTGAAGATGTTGATAATGATGTCGATGATGCGGAATATCTTCGTCAACTTCTTCCATGCTTTCACTGCTGCTGCTGCTACTGTCAGCACTCGGCAGTTTGTGGAATATAGTATCAAGCATTTCGTGAATGGCAGTAACATTAATCCAATGACTTTTGGTAACAGCTCCATCTTTCTTCGT